CGTGACACGGACCCGCGGAGGTTCATAAACGTTGTTGTTCCTGAGTTCGGTGGAATTCAGTGAACAGAGGGGTGACGTTTGTGTTTGTTTTTCAGATCAGCATCGTGACCCGAACATCTTATATGTAATAGAAATGTGTAGGGGGGGTGTACGGTGTGTGGTCATTAAATATGTATTCTGATATATGTTCTTCACAGAAAATGAGCCAAAGCCAGTGAGTTTCAATTTGAAAAATTAATTCATTGTATCATTTTTCTTTAAGTAAAAAATGAAAACGGGTCCCACAGACCCGAACACCACACAAGGGTTAAGCTCTTTGTAGGCTAGCATCAGGGACTTGAATTTGATTCAGGCAGCCAGGGGTAACCGGTGGAGTTCAACTAATAGAGGGGGGACGTTTGTGTTCAGAATCAGAATCAGAATCAGGTTTATTGCCAAGTAGGTTTTTAGACTTACAAGGAATTTGCCTTGGTGTTTAGTGCACAACACAACACTTCTATGAGAAGCAAGAATAAAATGTAGAAATAAAAATATAGGACAGAAAGTGATAAAACTGAAAAATACAGTCTTTAAAAATATAGATCTGAATGTACAGATGAACAATCTTTAAAAATATAGATCTGAATGTACAAATGAACAATCTTTAAAAAATATAGATCTGAATGTACAAATGAACAATCTTTAAAAATATAGATCCGACTGTGCAAATGAACAATTGAAATGTGCAATGTTGATCTGCAATGACAGACCAGAAAATGCTGAAAGCATTGGGTAAATTAGTGAGGTAGAGGGGGGGGGAGAAGAATAGGTGGGTGTCGCTGGCCTTGTTGATGAGGCCAGTTGCTGCTGGATAAAAACCGTCTTTATGGCGTGAGGTTTTGGTCCTGATGGTCCTCAACCTTCTGCCAGAGGGGAGAGTTTGTGACCAGAGTGAGAAGGATCAGACATGATCTTTCCTGCACGCCTTTTCAGATCAGCATCGTGGAGCTTGAGAAAAGCCAAAGGCAGCAGGAGCTGCTTCAGCTCAAATCCTACAGCCCCCGCGAGGGTTCCCCGTACAGGAAGCCCCTGGAGCCCCGCCCCCCCCCCGATCTGGACCCCTCTAAAATGGTTCTGTCCTCGGCGCCCGTGGCCAACGGCGTGGGCCCGGAGCTGAACGGCGTCTCCCGGTACCTTCCCGTTTCCCCGGATCACGAGGTGGTGACTAACGCCATAACGGACGGGCGCCAGCGGGCGCAGAACGCGTCCCACGCCCTCCCCGACTACACGCGCTTCTCCCCGGCCAAAATCGTCCTCCGGAGGCACCTCAACCAGGACCCCTCCGCCTCCGCCCACCTCAGGAGCCCCGGGATGGCCACGCACAGGTGGGCAGCCCTAACCCTAACCCTAACCCTAACCCTAACCCTGATCCTAATCCTAACCCTGACCCTAAGCCTGACCCTAACCCTAACCCTAACCCTAAGCCTCCACCCTTCATAATAGTGAGAAATAAATGCGCTGCTTTTTCCAACCCGTCACCATACTAAAGTTTTCAACTCGATACCATTTTCGATACCACAAGGATATAAACCAAGACCCCAGAATTTAACTGAATTGTTTCTTTCATTTCCAACTGACCTGTTACTGATGTTATCGTGACTGGTGGCCCACATTAATGACCCTAACCCTAACCCTCCACCCTTCATAGTAGTGAGAAATAAATGCGCTGCTTTTTCCAACCCGTCTCCCAGCTATCGGGGACACGTCTGAGTAGGGTTGTCACGATACTAAAGTTTTTAACTCGATACCGATACTCAGGAGATACTTTTGAAAATGAGTATCGTATCCGGATACAACATTTTAGTATCGATACTTTTTCGAGTATCCATACTAGGGTTGTCACGATACTAAAGTTTTTAACTCGATACCGATGCTCAGGAAAATACTCTATACCATTTTCGATACCACAAGGATAAAAACAAAGACCCCAAAATTTAACTGAATTGTGTCTTTCATTTCAAACTGACCTGTTCCTGATGTTATCGTGACTGGTGGCCCACATTAATGACCCTAACCCTAACCCTGACCCTAACCCTAACCCTAACCCTCCAGCCTTCATAATAGTGAGAAATAAATATTTTTTGGTTAAACTTGTTTATACTTATTGTACAAACCTATTTAACATCCACTATTTTAACATAATATTATAGATAGAGTTTAATTCGGCGTTTGCAAGATTCATTTCACTATTTTTAAATTAATGTCTATATTGCCATGAAGCAATTAGGATTTTCTTGCCTGGGATCTTCCTATTGGTGACCTAATCAAAATGGCCGACTTGGATGTGGGCGGAGTTGAATATATACTTGATTAAGGGTAGCATGTTATTATTAGCCATTAGCGGCAGCTAGCAAGGCTAACGTATTGTTAATGATCATAAACAACGTAAATAAATACATAAATAAATCAGAGAGAAGGGGTCGCACGGTGGTATCGATACTTTTGAAAATGAGTATTGTATCCGGATACAACATTTTAGTATTGGTACTTTTTCGAGTACTTTTGACAACCCTATGTCTGCTTTTGTCTCCAGGGAAACGGCGAGTGTGAACTCTCCACTCGGAGCCAAACAAAACTGTCCCTCTCCCAGTGCTGCCGACCCCAAAAGCTCAGAAAGGGTAACTGCATCTCTTCTTTATTCGCTTTATTTATGTTTCAGGCGTCAGGTTTACAGGATCAGAATCGAAAGGCCTTTTATTGTCATCATGCACGTGTACAACGAGAATAAAGCCGACTCCAAACAGTGCACAAATATCAATATAAATATTATATACAGTGTAAACATTAGGAGGTAAGGTGTTCAGTCCTAGGCATTTGCACATTGCAGAAATAAATGTATAGCTATACAAATTGTAAATATAAGTGTGTAAATATTGCAAGGGGTAAAAATTCTAAACATTGACATTGTAGGATA